ATGGCTGTATCTGGAGAAGGCTCTTGGTTTGAGGGGATTGTGTCACTCTCTGTGTTTTCTAGTCCTTCAACATGGGTTGTGAGGGGTCTTTAGTGTGACTTCTGCCTCTGCCCATCTCTATCGGAGAGCATTAACTCTAACTCAGGGGTTAGTGAGGTGCAGTGTTGCTGATCCTGACCTTTGAGGAACTGAGGACATTGGGGCCACTTTTCGTTTGAGAAGAGGGAGAAGATCCTGGCCTCCTGGAGCAGGCAGGTGGCTGTTTCATTGCTTAGGTTCCTTCACCTACTCTAGGCTTGCCTTTCTCCTCCACTAGGTACTGCCCCGGCAAACCTGCGGCCTCTTCACTCACACCATCTTCTACAATGAATACCCTGGTGGCTCCAGTGAGCTGGACAAGATCATCAATGGGGGTGAACTGTTCCTGACTGTGCTGCTTAACCCTGTGAGTATGCCCCGCAGGCACACGAGGACGAGCGCGTGGGCATCTTGTGCAGAGCCCTCCCTGGGTGCTGCTGCAGGCGAGCACAGCGCTCAGCCAGGCTTGGGAGTCCCTGGCTGCCACGTGAGGCTCTTCTGACCCCTGCTCCATCCTCTCTGCTTCAGATCAGCATCTTCATGACTCATTTGTCCAATTATGGCAACGATCGCCTGGGTTTGTACACCTTCAAACATCTGGTCCGTTTCCTCAACTCCTGGACCAACTTGAAGCTGCAGACTTTGCCACCTGTGCAGTTGGCCCAGAAATACTTCCAGATCTTCTCTGAGGAGAAGGACCCTCTGTGGCAGGTATGCTGTGGGTCAGGATCTTGTGTGGAGGGAATGGAGGGATCAGCCCAGAAACTTGGGACTTGGTAGTAGCAAATAAGTCATAGCTGGCCTTCCTTTGAGTAGGGGAAGGGCTAGGTGACCTCCTAAGGTCCTTTTCAACCTGCATTTTCACATGGTGCCGTGGGTAAGCAGTGGCATTTCACATCTTTGTGGTTCTGCAGATAGTCCATCTGTGCCATGAAAGGATAAACCTATTTGTTTGTCCTGTTTTGCCGAGCAGTGTGGCCTCCCTATGTATCTGCTCTTGTCTCAAGGCCGCTGAGCAAAGTTCTTTCTGGGCTTCCCGGTCTCTAATCCTCTTCTTCTGCATTTAAGGATCCCTGTGAAGACAAGCGGCACAAAGACATCTGGTCCAAAGAAAAGACCTGTGACCGGTTTCCAAAGCTGCTCATCATTGGGCCTCAAAAAACAGGTACTTTCCTTACTCTCAGCACCATGTGCTCATTGGCAGGCCTGCTGGGTCTCCTGCAGCATGCAGCATGTCAATAGCACTGTTGGCCTGAAGCAAATCGGGAAGAGAGTTTTGGCCTAAGTCAGTTCTTGCTTCCTCTCTGTCTGAAGGAACAACTGCCCTTTATCTCTTCTTGGGGATGCACCCAGATCTGAGCAGCAACTACCCCAGCTCGGAGACCTTTGAGGAGATACAGTTCTTCAACGGACACAACTATCACAAGGGCATCGACTGGTATGTCTGCCTGTGTCTTCCCACCACAGGTTCCGAGCTGCCTGGGTGGCAGTGCCAATTCCCTTGGGAACAGGAGCAGTATTGCTGTGGGGTTTTCTGTCTGCCTCATAGCCTCTGGACCCCTAACTAAGGAGCTGAGGGGAATCTGATTTTAGCTGCAGGTAGAAATAGTGGTGGTTATATGAAGTTATGACGTGATAAAACTTATTGCTGCAGCTTTGCCTGATTAGAGGCCCCTGTGTCATCAGCAGGGCAAAGTAGGCACCAGCTTTCTGGGGTGCCACAGAGGAGAGTATCTCTCCCTGGAGAGGCAAGGGAGAACAAGTTGCATGTGGTATCTCTCCCTTGCCACAGCACATGCTGAAGTCTGCCCCGGCTCTGTCTGGTGGCCGCAGAGGGTGCCTGTACCTTACCCTTAATGCCTGCAGTGCCACTGGCTGCAGATGCTGCCCCTCTGCCCACAGGCCATTGCATTGTCACAGTTTATCCCTGGGATGTCATTCTCATCACAAAGGCTGCTTGCTAGGACTCAGCAGTGCCCTTGACAGAAGCCAGGCTTGTGTGTGTTGGTTACACCATGGCTCCTAGGCCTGCCTGGGGAATTCAATGAAGCCTGGCTGTCCAAAATGTCTGGAAGTGATTGTAGATGCTGTATGCCTCAGATCTGGGGGAACCCTGGAGGTTTAGTCCTTGGTAGCACTGGTAATGTTTATGTTGGTAGCTTGGTAACTTTTAGTGGAGGTTTAGCCACACAGAGGGACAAGACTGTCAGTTGGAACAGAGAATAGCAAGAATGTCTCCTGATCCCTGTGTGCCTGCTTATGCTGTGCCTTCCCCACAGGTACATGGAGTTCTTCCCTATCCCCTCCAATACCACCTCTGACTTCTACTTTGAAAAAAGTGCCAACTACTTTGACTCAGAAGTAGCTCCCAGGCGGGCTGCAGCCCTGCTCTCCAAGGCCAAGGTCATCACGATCCTCATCAACCCTGCAGATCGAGCCTACTCCTGGTACCAGGTGAACTGCTTGCCTGCCTCTGGCTCTCCCATAGCTTCACCAGCTCCCTGGGGCTGTGCCAGCTCCCATGTCCTACAGAGTCAGGATCTTTCATTGCTGTCAGCTTGGTTTGGGATTGAGGGTGGCCCTTCGTGGCGCGTTTTCTTGGACTGAATAAGAAGTTCAAATATGTGGCATAGTGACTGGGGAGCTACAATGCTCAACTGTGGCCCAGGGGTTTCCAGAACCCAGCCTGGGGTTTCTAGGCCCACTGGCCTCCAGTCTGTACTGCCCCAACAGCAAACCCATCTCTTTTGCATCTGACAGCATCAGCGAGCTCACGATGACCCAGTCGCCCTGAAATACACCTTCCATGAGGTGATCACAGCTGGACCTGAGGCTGCTCCTAAGCTCCGGACGCTGCAGAACCGCTGCCTGGTCCCAGGCTGGTACGCTACCCACATCGAGCGCTGGCTGAACAACTACCATGCCAACCAGGTATGAGGGACAGCAGCTGGGGCACCTCTCTTGCGTGACCAGCAGTACATGGGAGACCTTTTCTCCTAGGCAAGAACAGGTCAGGGAAAGCAACTCTAGGCATGCAGCTCCCTGCAAGGGTGCTCCAGTGGGAGCTTCTCTTTTTATACCCTAATGACTTTTGGGATAGGAGCAAAGGTACTTTGGGTAAGTATGGAGGGGAGATTTTGTGCGAAAATGAAAACCTTGTAGCTTGGTTATGGCCACGGTGCAAAGATATCTCAGTCTGGGCTAAGCATATGGAGGAAGTTGGGATTTTTCCTCCCTAAGTGTGTGAATGCAACAGAGGCTTAGTCTGTAAGGCCTGGAGTGGGCAAGGATGTGATGGTCCGTCCCAAACTCCTTCCACGAGGACTCCATCCTCTGTAGCATGAGGGCTTCTCTGAGCAGTGTTGTAAAGGGGTGGTGGGGCTGGTGGCAGTCTGCAGAGCTGCAGCTGGGAGGCAAGTGACCTCCGTCCTGACATTCAGCATGTTGGCAGTAGCACCAAGGGGCTTGGGTGCCTTGGTGGGTATCAGGTCTCTGCTGCCAGCCAGTCTTGGACCTCAGAGCCCCACGTGGTCTTTGGGATTGCCCTGCCAAGTGGTACTGCAGCAGGAGTGGGATAGCAGGCAGTGCTCTCCATTGCTTCAAACTGCTTGTAAAGGAAGTTAGGGTTCTATTGCAGCCCCACTGTGACCTGCACACACAGGGAGAGTGGCAGTATATGGGCCACATTGTCTGAATGATTTTTCCACTGTCACATAATCTTTTAAAAACTGTTAGTTGTCTGGTCCTGGTGTAATTGCTGTAACGCAATCCTGGCTGTCAGTGTGTCAGGCAGCCCTGAGCTGAAGCTCCAGCGTCATCCTGGATGGAACCTTGCATTTTTTTTCCCCCCAACATTGAGTGTAAGCGAACACCAGGGCATTAGCTGTTGGGACCCAAAAGGAGACTCTGTTCAGGCTTGTGGGAAATTTGGCTCCCAAATGGCAAAATAGATAGAAAAGGTGTGGTGTGCCAAGAGACCTTGGGCTCGGAGTCAGCAGGAGGTGGTTACCTGACAGGTTTGCCCAACTTCATGGTTCTGCTTCATTCCTTGCAGATCCTTGTGCTGGATGGCAAACTGCTCCGAACAGAACCTGCCAAAGTGATGGAAACAGTCCAGAAATTCCTTGGGGTGACCAGCTTCATCGATTATCACAAAACCCTGGCGTGAGTCCTTCCCAGAGCTTCCTCTTCCTCTTTAACCAGGAAAGCATCTGCCATTCCCCATAGCAGATAGGGGAATCTCTTTTTTTACATCAGGTTTCCATCAGGGAAAAATCGAAAGCGTTAGAGCTGTCCTAACACAGCACCAGAAGGAGCAGTATTTCCCTGGAAGTTTGTAGCAGAGCTCCCACTGATTCTGATGACATCAGGATTTTACTTGTGTCAGCCTGGGGCCAGAACTGGAGCTCCTGATTGCTGAGATTTATGCTGCTGTCTCTGGGATAGCTGCATGCAAATTTAATGCTATGGCTTTGAGAAGCCCTTACTTGCTGGGACACAGTGACAAGCCCCTGCAGGAAGCCTGTTCCTTCCTGGGATCGTGTTCACCCAAAGCCATAACGCAACACTTCTTATGGGTAGCTGCTCCTGAGTGCTGCAGCCATCATTTTGCATTTGCCAAGCATCCCACGTCGTGTTGTTTATCCTTCTGCTGCAGCGGGGACAGGCCAGGCAATGCAGGAGAAGCAGCTGGGCCCCAGCAGCTGAGAACTGAGTTCTAGGGGTGCCTTCAAATCCCTTGGGATAGTGCCTCATCCTTGGTGTAGGTATGGGGTGCCGAGTGCTGGCTGCTTGGCCTCTCTTGCAGTTGTTGCAGGGAGCTGCTCTTGCTACTCGCTGTATGGCACCTGCGTGGGTGTTGTGACTTCTTCCTGCAGGGACAGCAAGCGTGGCTGGGTGGTGGGTGCAGCTGGGGATGGCTCTGGCTGGGCTGGAGGCGGGCTGGTGTGGGCGCTTTGCACCTCGTTACTACTTGGTTACCTTGCTGATCATGATAGTGAAAAACATGGATACAGTCGTCCCCCTCTAAGCTTCTCAGTAATTAAAGCCTGTCACTGGAAGCAAAAGCCTTCACAGCTCCTAGAAAAACAGCAACTCACCTCTGTGCTGGTCTGTCTTGTCTGTACATATGGCCTCTCTGAGGCTGTGGGCAGGTGCTATGGGGCTCCCATGAACATCCAGGAGTGAAGGTGCAGCAGAAAATAATTATAAAAAGCCCATGTACACCCTCATGCTTCCAGACAACAGGGAAATGCAAGCAATAAATACATGTTGTCAGGCAGCTTGTTGTGTGATTGTACAGGAAACCTGTTGTACAAGTTAGTCAATAATGAGATGTTAGCTGGGCTGTGGATTAAAAGCAGGTGGAGAAACACTGCTCTAGAGCACTGAGCCATTGCAAACTAGGGGCAGCAGGGTCCCGTGAGTCAATGTCCTTGCGCGCTGTGGGGAAGCACAGCCATGCAGAAGGGGCTCTGGCAGGTTGTGCTGGGGTTAACAAGAGGGGTGAAGGCAGAACTGTTCTTTTGTAGGTTTGATCCGAAGAAAGGATTCTGGTGTCAGCTTCTGGAAGGAGGGAAGACCAAATGCTTGGGAAAAAGCAAAGGGAGGAAGTACCCTGAGATGGATTCAGATGTGAGTATTCAGAAAGCTTGTGGGATAGTGCTTTGCTGGCACCATGCCCTGGAAACGGGGCTGCAGCATGGGTGGAAAGGGCAGGGGAGGGCTGCCTGGCATCCCACAGAGCGTGAAGGTGGGTGGGCAGCGGGGTCTGGTCGCAGCCTGTGTCCAGCTAACTGTGGTCTCCCTTCTCCTCCTGTTGCAGTCACGAGCTTTCCTGCGGGACTATTGGCCTGAGCAACAGAGCAGTGAGGCTGCGAGGAGGGCCCCCGTCTGACACCGAGCCCAGCCGCGAGCGGGGAGCCTTTCTGAGCAATATTCAGCTGCGGCCTTCGAGGGAGACCCTGCGGAGCCCCCGGCAGCTGCCGAGCGGAGAGCGGGACGGCTGCGCCCGAGGCTGCGCGAGCTGCGGCCTGACTCTGCAGTCCCGGCACTGCAACCTCTCCATGGACCCCCACATCCATTCTTTTTTCCTTTTTAATTCTTGGGCTTGTCATGGAGGTCATTTATCATCCTGTTCTGATGGGGAAATGGGGAATCAGTGCAAATTCCCTGTTTCTCTACTTGGCACAGGTGCTAACTCCCCTGGGCCTGGGAGGAGCACTCAGAGCAGTTCTTTATCTCCCTGCCAAATGATGAAGCAGCAGCTCCAGGCGCCTTGAAGATAACTTACGCTGGCCTGGGGCAGAGGAAAGGAGCTGTTGGAAAGCCAAAGCCTGAAGTGACCCTGCAATACAGCCCAAGAGCAGGAAGCAGAAGTGTGTAACAGTGGTTTGTTGGATTCCACCAAAATCTAGTGTTAAGAGCCAAGGGGGAAAAAAACGGTGTTTTTTTGTTGTTTGTTTTTTTTAAGACTTGGGCAGTATTTTTTTCATCATCTTTGTTTTAATCTCCTCAACCTCTTATTCCCAGTCCATGGGCAGCGTGATGGGAGAACCAAACTGCGAGCCGGCCCTGGCGCAGTTCCCCGGGCGATGCCCCATGCCCCATCCTGCGTCGCAGTGTTTGACACGCGTGGTATTTTCTGTGGTAAAGCTGGGGGGCAGCCTGGCAGCTCTGGCGCCCTCCAGACCCCAGCTCAGAACAGAGCGGGCTCGTGCGGACATGGCGGATTTGGGGATAATGGCAGTTGGAAGGATGCCGTGAACTTCAAACCTCTTGGATATTAAAAGCTAAAGTATTTTAATAATGTCGGGTTGGGTGGGAGGGTTTTTTGTTCTATTTTGCAGGGGATTGTTTTTCTTTGGTGCCAGGATTTGTACCTAAACCTCAAGGATTTTATTTTGTCTCCTTACCTGTCTCCTTGCCACACAAGAAGTGGACAAAGGTCAGTGGGGAAATGGGAAGGTTTCTTGGTCTGGCTTCCTCGCTGGAGGCAGGCACGTCTTTATACTTGTACCAGTGACGTACAGAAGCCGCAGCCCTGTTTCTGCCTCTCTTCCTGCATCCCAACTGCCTGGTTTTGCAGTCAATGTTCCAGCAGTGAAGCTTGCAAACCTATCCCTCTCTCTAGCTGCCCTGGCAGGGTGTGTGCACACGAGTGTGTGTGCAGGTACCTGCCTGTGTGCGCTGCAGCTGCGCAACACTGAGCCACTGTGAGCTTCGGTGAAGGGCCCTAGTTTCCCTTCGGACATGTGTGCCAAACTTGGGAAGGGGCAACCCTTTGGGTTCGTCTTTGGTGGCAGGTGGATCAAGGGGACTTTTTTACTCTCCAGCCCAAGAGCCCAGCAATTTTCATGCATTAGGAAGGGGTGAGCATCATCCAAGGAGTAGTTGTAGGCCACATGCTGCTGTGTATCTGATAGCTGTATGCTATTTGACAGCATGTATTTGGTGCTTGGCTCCTGAGCAAGGTGGTTCGAGCTGTCCGGCTGCTCTCACGCTGCCGACGTGGGAGCTGTGCGGGCTGCAGCGAAGCTGAGAGGTGACAAGCAGCAGGGGAGAGCCAACAGGCCTGAGAGCAAATTCAGGGCAGCAGAGTGGGAGAGGGGCAGAAGTGCTGGGCTTTTCCACTCCCTACGTTCAGTTTTGGTTTTGATGGTGGAGGGGACCCCCTCTGGGAGTGGGAGTTCCCACCGTTGTTTGGTTTTGTTCTGGGTTATTTTTGCATGAAACTTTAGTGTTCCCTGGGGCATGGGGGATGGCCAGAGCAGAGGGAGGGCTGGGGGAAGGATGTTGCACTGTTCCCAGTGTCCCTCCATTTGGTCCTTTCCCAGCTCAATATATTTGAGTTGCATTCGGAGTTTCCCAGTCACTAATGTACGGTCCTGTTGAACTAACTGCTAATAAAACGAGGGTTTGGTTTTAGCTGCCTGCTGTTGCCTGCTTCTCTCCTCCGTTCAGCTGAAGGTGAGCACAGGGCCTCAGCCAGTGAGCTGCTGCACTGCACCCACGTGTGAGGAAGAGACGGCAGCCTTGGGACAGCAGGGCAAGCGCAGAGCTGTTCGGGAGAGGTGAGTCAGTGTCTCTCGCTGCAGTAAGCCCTGTCCCTCTGCACACATCTGCATGTCTGTCCTCATGGCCTGGGCTTGGTTTTGGGGGCCACTGTGGGGTCACCTGCAAGTGCTGGATATGTGGTGTGGGCATGGGCCAGCTGCACAGGAACAAATTGGACTCTTTTGTGTCCTCCCCACTGGCTATGTCCCCTTCACCTGGGTGCAATCGAGGTTGCAACAAGCCTCTCCCAAGCCCTGCTGGGAGCTTCTGCTAGGGCGCTGGGACCTTGAAAAGCCCGGGGAGGGACGGCACTACCGGAGCCCCCAGCTGCCTCTGCCTCCGTGGCTTTGAGCCGAGCCCTGGGGGCCCCGAATGCAGGAAGGCTGTGGGGGCAGCAGTGAGGGCGGCTGCGGCTGTGCTCCGTGCGCGAGGTGGCAGCAGTCGCCCGGCCTGGCCCCACGCGGCCGCCGGCCTCGCGGCCTCCAGACGCTGCCCTGGGAAGGAGCCAAGCAGCCGCGCTGTGAATAGCCCGGCTATTTCCCCCTCTCCAGCTCTGCCCGACAGCTGGGCTCCTTCAGCCCCAGTTTCACAGCCGCAGTAATTGTGTCGCCCCTCCCCAGCCCTGCTATTTTAGTCGGTGCGGGGGGACACCCTGCGGCTCCCAAATAGGGTAAGGCACGAGTTTGTGGGGGCTCCTGATACCCAGGTGTGTTTGCTGCAGTCCCTTGGGGCTGCAGGGCCCAGGCAGGATGCAGCCACCGGCTCTGTGAAGTGCAGTGTGTGCTGAGGCCCTGCACGCTCGCGTCAGCCGTGGGCCCATGTGCCTAGAGCGCAGCAGCAGCATGTCCAGACCCCCATCCTGCTGAGGGAGAGGCGCTGTGCAGACCCCGAGGCCTTGGGGCCGAGCTGGTCATGGTCCAGCCTCCAAAATCCTGGCACTGGCTTCCAAAAGATGGCCTTGAAAAGTATGGTTTTAAAGAAATTAGGACTGGGTTTAGCCCTCTTGTGTTTTAGTTTCTGAGCCCTTTCTGTGGCTTCAGCCTTTCCTGTGCCATCTTTTCAGGTACTTCCCTGGGCCAAAACTCCTGTTTTTGCCTGTGCTCCCGAGAGCTGGTGCTTTGCAGGCGTCACACAGCACAGCCCCCTGCGTAGCACAGGGGACCACAGCGGGCGGTGTGAGAAGAGAGCAGGATACAGCCCACGTGCCAGCCTAACGCTCCTGCTCTGAGCACGGAGAGTGACCCAGCTCTGCCGTGGTAGGAGGAGATGGCCCCGGGCCCTACCCGTGCAGCGACCGCGGCTCGTAAAGCCCGGAGGTTGCTGTCTCTTCCCCCCTCCTTCTCTGGGCTTTTGTCATCCTAATCCTCCCTTTCCTTCTTGGCTCTCCCATCTTTTCCCAGGAAGAACCTCCATGTGCTTCTGCTTGGCCGGGGAGGGCAGCAGGGCTGGGGCTTCGGGGTCCGCCTGGTGCGATGCTGCCGGAAGCAAGCCCAGACCCAGAGGCCAAAGTGCTGCCTTGGGGTGCTGAGCTTGTGCTTCAGGGCCTGCTGTGGTTTCACTTTCCTCACATAACGTGGCTGCTGTTTGTCACTGGCGCCCTGGGGGCAAATGCAGGGGCTGTTTCGTTCTCCAGGGCTCCTGTACCCCAATCCCCCTGAGAGAGGGGTGTGAAGGGTCTTTGAGGGGGGGCTGCAAAGGGCTTGTGCCCCTTGGCATGGCTTTGCTGCACGGAGCGTCCCCGGAGTTGCTTGCCTCCCTGCAGTCCAGCACCGGGGTGGCTCTGGGTGCGACCAGCAGCCCATGAGGGTGCTGGAGGGGGATCCCTCTCACCTTACCCGGGTGCTCCCTCCACTGGTGGGAAAACCGGCCCCTGCTCCCCGCCTCGCCTCCCTCCTTTGCAGCCCTGGCCTCCGCGAAACACTGCAGGAAATGGAGACAGGGCCTAATTAATAGCAGACGGGCGGCGGGGAGGGCCGTTTGAACCTGTCGCAGTGACAAATGACGTGCAGTGCTGCGGGGACGGTGGACAGGGCCTGCGTGCGCCTGCAGCTGCTCCCTCCCGCCCGGGCCCCCCGCTCCCCCCAGGTGACCGGCTCCCCTTCCCTCCCCAGGACCCCCCCGCTGCCCCCTCGCTCTGCAGAGGCGCTGGGGCCGCTTCCCCTGCATGCGGGTTTGGATTTTCAGTGGGCTGGAGCTGGGCTGTGTACGCTGTGCCTGCTGTTTCTGCCCCTTGGCATCAGGCGACAGGTGGGAGCAGCTGCTGTGGCGCCGTGACTCGGTGCTCGCACCTCCCTCGCTGGGGGCAGCGGGACGAGCCCTGGCCCTGCGCTGCAGCAAAGGTGTCTTGATGCATGCTGGGTTTTTTTGTGGGGGCTTGATGCTTCAGTAGGGAGCCAGTGCCCGTGCCCCCGACCAGAGGCCCCCAAAAACCCCCAGACCCGCCTCCTGACCAGGGGCACTAGGGGCTGTGGTGAGGAAGCAGATGGGGAGGGAGCTGCAAGGGAGCCCATGGGAGACAAGGGTGGGTGCTCTGTTCACTGCCCTCCAGGATCTCTGGCACAGGCACCCTGCGAGCGGGAGGTCCTTCCCGTGGGGCAGCCGGGCCCCCGTGGGACTCCGCAGCCCGGGGTAGTTCTGCAGTGCCTTGGCTCTGCTTTGTGAGGGCCAGCGAGGTGCTGGGGGCAGCGAGGCCCCCCTCAACACAGCTCTCTCCTCTCCCCAGCGCCCCCCTCACTTTTTTTTTTTTTTTAAAAACACTTTATTTCCTTTTCTAGCTAAAACAGAGCTGCCTTTCACAGTGGCTGGGGGCTGGCCCCAGCCCCTGCCGGGACCTGCTGCTGCGGCAGGGGGGGGGGGGGGGGGGGGGGCCAGCCCCGGCACGGGGCAGGGAGCAGGATAAGGTGGCTGCCTGGATTGGCCCAACCAGAGCTTGACCTGGGGCTGCTCCGGGTTCGGCAGCTGTCTGGCGCAGGGAATGAGCGCTGCTCCCTTCCTCCCGTCCCATGGCCGGGCATGTGCCGGTGCTGTCTGGGCCGAGGAGCCGGGGGGGCTCGCGGCCCCGGTGGTGCATCCTGGTGGCCAAAGGGCCTCCTTGCGCTGCCGGCCTGGCTGCCGCTCTGGCTCCGCGGGGGGGGGGCTCGGGCGCGGCCAGGGTTAGGGTTTTGGCAGGAGGCGGCCGAGGAGCCGAGCGCGGCTCCAAGAGCTCCCGTCAGAAGGTTCTCGAGAGGGGAATGCGGAGCTGCAGGAAGGGAGCAAAGCCGCGAGTTTCCAGGGTTTCTGCTGGGATCACTCGGAGGGGATTAGGAGCCGGGAAAGGCAGAAGATTTACAGCCCCCTGCTCCCCTGGCAGGTCCATCTGCTACTAGAAAGTGCAGTTCAGCTGCACAAGAGCAGCCATAGGGAGGGAGTGCATTAACGTTGTGCTCATAAAGAAAGGCAGCGGAGCTATATTCACAGTTTCACAGCCTCCCTCGATTTGGAAAAGTCCATAAACATTTCTTGCCAGGGCAGGCTGCGGGAGTGAGGAGGAGGAAGAAGAGGGGGCTGGGATGGGTTTTGCTGTGTGTTTCCAGCTGGGAAAGGTGGAAATAGGTGCTGGGGTCCCCACATGCCCCAGTGCAACCCCTGTGGGCACGGGGAGACAAAGCTGCAGGCTGTCCGGCCGGCCGCATGTGGGCCATGCAGCCATGGGAGCAGCATGCGCGATGGGTGCCTCCAGGCCTTTCATCGCCCGGTGAGTAGTGCAGATGGCAGGACAAGAAAAGAAACCTCTTGGACATCTTGAAAAGCATCTCTTTTATTTGCATTCCAAAATGGAGAGAGGCCGCAGTGCCCCGCAGGGTTTCTGAGCTGGGCAGGGGGACAGAGGGAGGGGACTATTCTTCATCCAAATGTTCTGTGCATTGGGCAAGCTTTCCCGCTTGGCAAAGCTGGGTGTTTAAGTAGAGCTCCACCAACTGGACTTTTGTGAAAATCAGTATTGTTTTAATTCAAATTTGTCCTTCCCAAGTTTTGGTGCTGCAGAAATCTCACTGCAGCTGTCAGCATCAGTCCAAGAGTCTCTTGTTTGCAGGGGTGACTGCAAAGAAGCTCTCTGAAAGGTGTCCAGCGGGACAGGAGATGGGGTTTCTGAGACCTTGGCTTTGAGAGCCTGGAGAGGGTGCAGGGAAAAGCCATGGAAGTTGTTCTGACATGAGGGAGGGTCTTCAAGCTGCTGCCTCCTTCAATGCCTCAAAATGCAGCCCTCCAGTGACTGTGTTGGCACCCTGTGAGGACACAGCAGATCCTCTGCACAGAAATCTCCATCCTCCCACTGGGTGGAGAAACTTCAGGCCTTGCTGTCCCAAAGCCCCGAGCCCTTTCCCAAAGTCGAGGCGATGTGTTTTGTGTTCATGCCTTTGGAAGGGCAGCTGGCCAACAGGAGATGGGCTGTGCTCTGAGAACCTTCCAGGGGAGGTGTGCTATATTTGTACTTATTTTGAAAGGATAATTAAAAAAGATCCTCCCCTTGAATAAGAGCCATGCAAAACATTTCTTCTAATTTCCCTTGTGATTTGGGAGTGATGCATTTTTATTTGGTGAAAAAATAACATTGAATTTTAGTGTCTGAAAAAAATCAGTATGATATTTTTATTATATGTTCCTGTCTTTAGATTGCAAAGTTAAAGAAGATTTCTGTAAAGTTGTATGTTTTCCACTAAACATGCATTTGTCTTGTTTTGAAGATAGGCAATGCGGTACGCATTAGAAGACACTTATAAATGAAGAATATATTTACAGTGTCTAAGACTGTAAATGAATCACACATTTAAATGTCACAGTTTAATTCAAAAAAAATGCCACAGATGTAGAATAGATTTTAAATGTCAAAGTATAGATGACAAAAATATGTTTCTTCCATAGAGGAAAATTGCCTTATAACAAAATTACATTAATCCCAGCTTTCCAGTGGCTGAAGCTAACCCAGCTCTCTGAGCAGTTTCCTTTTAAAGAAGACACATGGCGAGGAGAAACGTGAAACCGCTGGGCCGGGCGCGCGTGATGGCTCGCACATGTGCCTGGCGCGGCCCGCTCGCGCATCCAGCTGCGCGGGGCCGCCGTGCCGCCGCCTCCCGGCGGGATCGGCGCTTTTCGGCTTTGCCCAAAGCAGGGCTGGGCCTGCCGGGGCTGCGTAGGGAGGGTAGATTTGCCCCTTGGGGCTGTGCTGTGCTCCGCGGACTCCCTTGGTGCCTGGCCGCGTCTTGCTGGCGTGTGCTGCGGAGGGAGCCGCGGGCAAGGCCAGTGGAGCCAGTGTCCTTGAGGCCCCGACAGCCCCAAGGACGAAGGCTGCAGAGCAGCCTGGCTCCCGAGGGCAGCTCGGAGCAAGGTCCGTGCTGCAGCCCCGCAGGGCTTGGTGGCCGTTAGGAGCGTGAAAGCCGCTCCGGGTAACCCCTATGCTGGATCTCCCCTGGCCATGCTCCCTGCCACCCCGGCTGGGCGCCCGGATCTCCCACAAGAAGCCTTTGTCCCTCCAACGTCGCTTATTGGAACCATGTGTGGCAGGGGGCTCTGGAGCCGACTCCCGTCTGGCCGGGAGCCCCCGCGAGCCCAGGAGGAAGCAGGGGCCACTTCCCCTGTCCTGCTGCCCGTAAGGGAGGCGGTAGGGAAGGAGAGCGAGGATGGAGGTGGCTGCTGCCCCCTTACCTGCCCCGTCTGGAATAACACGGCGCCTGGCGAGCGGCACAGAGCGGGCATTGTCTGGGCTGCCGGGAAGGCCACTGACACGGGAGGAGGGGGCTTGCCGCGGGGCCGCCACCAATCCGGGGGTCCCGGCGCTTTCATTTTTGTGTGTGCAGCTGCGGAGGAAAAGGCTGGCTGAGGAAAGTTGTCTCGATTCTGCAAGAACAAGCCGGAGGGGGCGGGGGTCTTTCCTCTCCCCTCCTCTTGCTGGGTGAGACATGAAGGAATCAAAGGCAGCCTTGGTTGGGGAACGGGCTTCCCTGGAGGCCTCGCTCGGCCGCTCACTCGCTCATGGAGCGGGGCAGGATCGTGCAGAGGCTGCCCTAAGCGCGCATGGCTCTGCTCCCACTTGCTGCAGGGAGCTGCCTGCCCGCGCGCCCTGGAAACCCCTCTTAACCCTTTCAGCAGACCCTGTTCACCTCGGCCAGCTCCCCGTGAGGGGTGCGGGGTCCGCTCTGCCTTCACCTACCCCTTCCAGTGCTGGAGCCCACGGAGGCTCCTGCCAGGAGCCTGGCGCTCCCCATGGCTCGGGAAGCGGCAGCTGGGAGCCTCCTGGCAGCTTTGGCATGAGGGAAAGCAGATAGTAGCTGGTAAGGTGACTCTGTCTGAATAATGCAGTGAGACACCTGGGAAGCGGCAGTGATGGAGCATGCACAGAGCTTGGGAAAGGCTCCGAGGTAGCCAGTAGCCGATAAAAGCTAAGGCAGATGCTGAACACGGGAGGCTTGAGGTGCTGAGAAACCAGCTTGCACAGGCCAGCAACGTGTGGGTGGCTCTGGCTCTCCTGGCAGCCCTGCCTTGGGCAAACACGGCTCCCATGGCATGCCTGGCTCTGCGCAGACCTGCCCCAAGCGTCCTGCCCCTCTCTTTCCTCGGACAACACTCGTGTCCGCTTTGCAAAGTGCTTTGGCAGCGAGGAGGAAAAAACCCCAGGGCTGCTGTGTCCCTGTCCCCCTGCGCAGGGTCTCCGGCTCTGGGGATGGAGCGGGGAACATTGCAGGGTTTCCTGCCACAGTACATCTGGGTTGAGCTTCAGTGCTGGTGCCTCCCACGGGCCGTGGGGCCGCGGCTGCTGCAGCCGCCAGGAGCGCCTGGGGCCGGGAGAGCAGCAGGCGCGGGCCCAGGCCGCGGGGAGCTGGTGCTGGGGGCTGCCCGCTTGCCCTGCGGCTCTGTGTCCCCATCCCCATGCGATGCATCCAGCAGCACCAGCCCCGTGCACCCCGTGTGCCACCTGTCCCCGTGCTGGCATTGCTGCCTCGCCGTGCTCGTACCATTCCTGAGGGTGTGATGGGCTCACCAGCAGCAAGGACGTCCCCATGTGGGGCTCTCCGGGGTCCCTTCCCTGGCCACCCACAGCTGTACGTATGTTTATATATGATGTGAGCAGAGAACCCAGCCTCGCGCAACCTCCTGCCCCCGCATCCGTGCGCAAAGGCCGTGCAGACCTAACACGAATCAAACGCCTCCGAGTGAGCCAGAATAAATATTTTATGGTAAATTACCAGAGCTAATAATTATAAAAATCTGCACTTATGACCCGTAGCTAGGGAAGGATTTGCAAGCAGCTGGTGGCCACATGAGTGGCGGTACCTTGGGCTCCCCAGCTGGGCTGCCGCCCCCTCCCCACTTGCACCCGCATGGGGAGTGGGCTGGGAGCAAGACTCAGCGTCCCCCGGGCATCTCCCTGGCTGCAGTGCCCGGGGTCCCTGCTGGGCTCTGTGGAGGGCCCTGTGGTCCTGGTGAGTGTTAGAGGCTGTGCGGGCGGTTGCTGCAGCTCCCGTGTGCTGCGTGGCTGCGTGGGGCGGAGGGGGCGAGTGCGCACGCGGGGGTGCCGCGCTCTGAGCAACGCACTCGCTCCTCACAGCGCCTGGGTTGTCTTATCTTGGGGGAGAAAACGGTTCATTGGGAGAAGAGGCCGGGAGGAGGGCAAAAGAGAAGGCAGGATGAGGGAAGGCCCTGATGAACGATGGAGCGGGATCATTTTACCCACCTGACTGCTCAGAGGAGGCTTTTACAGCCACCCTTAGTGTCCCTGCTCGAGATGGCCTTACTTGGACCAGGTGGTCTCCAGCGGTGCCTGCCTACCCTCGGCCATTTCCTCTCCTTGCTGCCCTGGCCTGCCTGGTCACAGGGGAAGCTGAGGAGGACACGTGTCCCTGGGAGCATTGCAGACCTGCAGCAGGAGCCAGGGAGGCTCCCACTCACCCTCCATGTGCCTGGCTGTGTTTTCTCTCCGCCTTTGGAAGCTCGCCGTCTCGCCGAGCAGCGCCAGGGAAGGCTGGCAGACTGGCACTGCCGGTTCCCAGCCTAGCGCTGCCGGGGACACGCTGCAGGGAGAAGAGGAGCAGTTCTCACTGCCTCCCTTGGGCTCGAGGGAGGTTGCACCATCTGCCCATCCTCAGGGCTGCTGAGCTGGTATCGTCCCTGCGAGGGATATTTCAGGTCTGGCTGTGTGCGCGGATCCCCATGAGGTTAGTAAAGGCAGAGGAAGCCTCCCCCAGCACTGCCCGGAGCCCTGGGACGGGGCGGCCGCCTGCGGAAGGCAGCTGGCTGGGGCGCAGCCGCAGGCACCCTGCCACCCATCGCTGCAGCTCTGTGGGGCTGGGGTGCAGGAGGTCTCCGTGGAGCTGCCGGGAAGGAAATTCATCTCCACACACAGCAAAAGGCAGGTTTCGCCATGGCTCTTGTGCATCTCGCAGGGCCCAGATTTGTGCATTCCCGCAGCAGAACCTCCTGCGGCGCCCAGCTGGCGGGGAGCCAGGAGCAGAGAAGAGAGTTCGCTGTGGGGAGCTCTTCCCTTCCCTCACCACCACCCATGCCCTGGGCTTGCAGTGGATACGCTGTCAAAACAGTAAATAAATAAATAAATAAAGCATTTCCTCCTTCCTCCTTGAACTGATTCTGAGAAAAATAGGATGGACCTCAGGTCACGGCTGAGCTCTCCCTTGCGCTGCTGTCTGGGTTCAAGAGGGCCGATGACTCAGACCATAAACAGCGGCGGTATCCACAGCTCAGCCCCACTTGGCTCTGCTCCTGCCTTGGACAACTTCAGCAACAATAGTGTTGGCCTTGAGCGCGGCTTGCTCACAGAGCTAGACTCCTCTAAATGCAAGACATCCGCCGCAGTGGTTTTGATTTAGACAGTGAGCTGGGTAAAAACAGCGAGGGAGGAGGATGGAGCGAGCAGCTTTGGGCAGAGGTGCAGGAAGGAGGGAGGAAGGCCCAGGGCTCGTCTCGAACAGAGGGGCTCCAAAGCACTTTGCAAACACCTGCCTGCTCTGCAGCGCAGCACGGGTCTGGGCCCCAGGCGTGCTGGAGTAGGGGCAGCCCCGTGCCGAGGGCTGCACGGAGGGATGGAGCCAGGGATCTCTGCAGGCTCCAGCCGGCACCAGCGCAGCTCTTGGTGCTGAGCAGAGCAGCACCCAGGGAAATCTGCCCGAGTGAGTGCCCCAGTGCGGTGGTTCAAGAGGGACCACCCAGTGCCACATGAGGGCTTCGGTTTGTGCCCCGGTGCTCCTTTTGCCTTTCAGGAAGGCGAGCGAGGCTGAAGGTGCCAGGAGCTGCCAGCCCTTGCCCCGTGGCCCCGCGACGTCCCTTGGGCATGGGGTCGTGCAGAGGTGGCACCCCAGCGCCCGGCGGCGCTGCCCTCAGCTCGGCCCTTCCTCCTGCTTAATCAAAGCCATGAGTGTGCCGGAGCTGCAGCCCTTGGCTGCGCGCGGACCTTGGCTTCCAGCAATCAACAGGAAACGGGAGATGGATTTCTCGGTAAACTGGGTTTTCCATAAACAGTCTGAGGGGGCCGACAGCGATGGCGGGAGCAGCTCAGCGCCAGGGCCGGGATTTACATCTGTTTATGACATTTCTGTGCTCTCGCTTCCTGCCCCCGCTCGGGGGTCCCATCCCGACAGCCCCCGGCCCGCGGGGAAAATGCTGCAGAGCTGAGCTCAGCCCCCCGCTCCGCAGCCAGGCGGGCTGGTGCCCCTTCCCACCGGCGTGTGCTGAGCTCTCCTTGCCAGCGTGCCCAGTGTGTGCCCAGTGTTTGCGAGCACCGTGCACCAGCTTGCACACCAGCCCCGCGCACCCCGTTTGCAGTGCGGATGCTGCTGCCCAGCATTGCATAGCACAGAGAGCAGAGTGGGGCAGGGAATGGCGCGCAGCGGGCAGCTCGCAAAGCAAAGCTCTGTTTATCCAAAACTCAGCTTGGCTCAGACTGCTCACGAGTACCAGGGGGGTTGCAGCCTGGCGAGGGGCACTAGCCTGTGCAGGAGCCTCATCCCTCATCCGTGCAGGCGTCCATGAAGCTGGAGCCTGGAAGCGTTGCTGCTCAGCTGCTCCTCCAAGACCCTGGGGAGGCTCCCCCTCCTTTTCCCCCCTCTTTCCCAAGCGGGAAGCCAGCTCCCCTCGGTCTGGCGCTTGCAATCCCAGCCTGATGTGTTGGCACTTCCCGCCTCAGGCCAGTTATTAACTAATCAGCCCTGGCCAGTGCGCAGGCCACCAATTTCTCGGTAATCAGGGCCTAAGAAAACACAAGGTGACCCCGCGAGGTGAGCAGGGCAGCAAGGCCGGGGTCTCCAGTTGCTTCTCCTGCACAGTAGCAGAGGCACCGCCAGCTCCCCAGCCTCCAGGGCCGGCTCCTCTGCTGCCCTTACGTCCCTGTAGTATCTGCGGTGGATGCGCAGCAGCACATGCGTGCACCCGAGCGAGCTACATGGGCATCCCTGTGTGCCAGTCCTGATCCCGGAGCCGACGGCTGCTGGCATGGCCACGTGCCTGCGGGCTCCTCGCCCCCGCGGGGTCCCCACGCTATGGGACAGAGCGGGCTGTGTTTGCATGGGGGGCAATGCTGGGGACGAGGGACGGCAGGGTCAGGCCCAGCGTGGGCTCTGTTTGCAGAGCCGAACAAAGGCGCTTTCTCTCTGCTCCAGCTCCGGGCAAAGCGGCTCCTCCACGAGCGCAGCCGCCTGCGTCAGAGCCAGACGGCGGCAGGACGGGGGTTTCCTCTGGAGGGTGAGGAGGGTTGTGGTGGCGGGAGCCCCCGGCAAACTGCTGCTTCCACCCGTAAGGAATCATGACATCGGTCGGGCCGTCAGACTTGTGGTTTTGGGGTGGTTTCTTTGGGCTTTGCAAGGCACAGAGATGCCCCAACTACGAGGCCAGACGTGGCACGTGGGCAGATGTGCAATGGAGGATGCAAGACTTGGAAGCAACCAATTCTGTGGGTCTGCGACAGTGCATGGCTGCAGCTCCCTGCAGACAGTGGGAGGCTCGTGTCTCCTCACCAACCTGAATGAGCAGGTAGTGCCAAAAGTTTCCAACAAAAGGAAATTGTACAACCCACCGAAACACAAGTTGCTCTGTGTAGCTGTGCAGACATTTTTGGCATGCGCATATGTGCATGTTTTGGCACAGAAATGCACATCCTATTTCCACATGATGGATATGCAAGAAATGTGTTTCCAAGCAGAGAGGGGCTGTGTGTATTTGTGGTGGGGGTCGGAGCAGGGCTGTTAGGGGATGTGCGATGCCATTCCTGGGAGCGGGATGCTGGCCAAAGAGAAATGCTGCCTAGAGCTGGGATGAGCTGGACCGGAGCTGTCCTTTGGAAGAAGGCTGGTATGTGGGAGTGTTTGTGCGTGAGGATGTTGGAGCGCTGAGTGTGTTGAAACAGAAGGGTTTGATTTTTCATTTGAAATGGCCTTTCTGATCTCTTGGAATATAAAATGAAACATTACAAGAAAAAATAAATTCCCAAATCAGAGCAAACTGTTCCTCTCCACCCCAAAAATTCCCCTTCGCAGTCACATTTTTTCTCGCTTGCTTGTCTCTCCACCTTGGCGAGGAGCTGTGCCTCCTGCCTCCGGCACCTCCATCCTGCCGCTCCTCCGTGCCTGGGCTGCTGTGTCCGGGGCTTTGGCACTCTCGGCATGCTCTCCTGGCATGCTGGGGCGAGCTGAGGGACAAGGGCTGCCCGCAGAGCTATCACCAAGGGCTTGCAGGGAGGAGGAAACCTCACAGCAGTGCCTTAGCCACCTTGGCGGTTCATGAGCTCGAGCTGAGCGTGGCCGACCCCATGGCGGGTGACACGATGAGCAGGGGCAGCGCACAGCCCCGCTGTGTGGCTCGTGGCCGAGCTCCGCACCGAAGGGTGCCCGCGCTGCGGCCCGCTTGCCGGAGCGATGCCACGGCTCCTCCCCGGCGCACGTGCCGTGCTGTGGCGCCCTGCCACGCACGCGTCGCCTCTGTGCCACGGGAAGCTCCTGCAGGTCTTGCTGTTACAGGTGGAAATCAAATGAGCAGTGTGGAAGTGGGGCTGTTCTCCAGGGGAATTATATTTCCTAGCCATACAGTGGTTGATAGGACTCCAGCCCAGCCTGTCACCAGCAGCGTGACCCCTTTGCTGCTACAGACGAGGACGATGACTACCGGGTGTCTGAGGTGTTAAGCCACGTTTGGGTCGTGGGAATAGCGCTCCTACCTGGCCAGTCCCTCCTGTTGTCTCTGGGTAAGAGCCAAGGAGGATTTGGGTTCATATTCGTGATCCCATGAGGAGGTTAATATATCCCCAGCTTCCTACTTTTATTCTTTCTGCTTGTATTTGTTTAAATTAGTGCCTGGTGTTGCATTTGTTTTAGTTAGTCCTGGCCTCTGGCGCGCTGCAGCGAGCGCTTTCCCCGGGACGTGCTGTTGCTAACCCTCCTCAGGTGCCCTCAGTCCAGCTCCCTGTTTGCCAGCTGTCGCT